TGAATACATGAACCTATGCAGGAATATGCAGGAATTCCTGGTCATTCCATATCGATGCAATTCCAGAATTCTAAAACGGAATTGAATCTTTATTTCTATAGCAATGTTCAGTTGAACATGAATACATGAACCTATGCAGGAATATGCAGGAATTCCTGGTCATTCCATATCGATGCAATTCCAGAATTCTAAAACGGAATTGAATCTTTATTTCTATAGCAATGTTCAGTTGAACATGAGTACACCAATCTATGCAGGAATAGACAGGAATTGGCAGGAATTCCTGGTCATTCCATATCCATGCAATTCCGGAATTCTTGGTCATTCCATATCCATGCAATTCCGGAATTCTAAAACGGAATTGCGTCTTTTTTTCTATACCAATGTTCAGTTGAACATAAATACATCAGCCTATGCAGGAATTGGCGGGAATTCCGTAAAATACGACGGCACGGGTAGGAATTGGATGTCAGGAATTCCGGAATTGAATGATGATGAGTTTGATGGCTTTATGCGATGCAGGAATGTGTAACTTAGAGGAATAGGATGACTGCTCAAAATAACATATTTTTGAAATAGCATCTTTACTGATAGGACTATGGTATACTTGCATATATTAGTGAGGAATTTTATTACAAATGGCAATAATTCTAAGCCAAATGTGTCTTTGTGTAATGCAAACAGGAAAATTCTCTTGATCTGTGGAGTTTGCGAACGGGCTGAAAAGACTTTCCTAGTGATATACTGTCATATGACAGCATTTTCTTATTGTTACTGACAACATGAAAAAAGGTTCCTATAAAACATTTTTGCTTTATTTTATTAAATCCACGAGTAATTATCAATATTTTTGTACAAAAATGAAGCCCCAGATATTATCTTTCATTAGTAAAAAAAAAAATGAGTACATTTGCTCGAGAATTCGGACTTCTAGAGCTTTGACAAGTACCTGATGATGAGCAACGTGCCATTTTCTTCTAATACAATGTTTGCTTCTGAAACTTGCAGAGAATAATGGGCAACTGTTAGAAAACATCTCCTGAAAATTTCACATGGATCCATTAAGCTTTCACCGAGTTATGAATGTCACAATGCCATTACACGGTTTTCGTGTACATCAATGATTACAGTAAAATGGTCATAATTCTACAATGGCTCTATGAACTTCACGGAAATTTATACTATAGATAGCTAAATTAGAGTGCTACATAATGAGGTGTTGGTCGACTGAATAGATCTTTCGTCTCTCGAATGATGGATTTCACATAGGACATGACTACTACCTATTATAACTCCGTTCTAACTCGAGCAATTATGACGGGGCTTGTGCCTATGATCAGCATTCATGATAGAGTATATACACACAAAATTTTAGCTGTCTAACTCCTATTATGAGTGAAGTTCAGGAGGGTGAGGGACTTTTGGCCAGCACTGTATGTGTATACGCGTATGACAGAACGAAAGAAAAAACTGGAGATGGAACAAAAAAGTTCTTCCTGCAGGAAATTTTGTTTTAAAAAATTTTGCTTGGGACTACACTATGCCCCACACTCATATTCTAGGGTAATACTCAGTTTTTTGCGCTCTCTCTAACGATACCAATCTTATGCATTAGACTTTTAGAAAATTTTTTTCCAAGGTTTGATATGTGTTATATATATTGTTACTTCACCACTTTGTATAATCAAAATCAAAATTAATTTTATGACCCTTAATTACATCACCCCGGAGCGGTTTTGAAGGGAAAGTGTTCGGTGAATAAAATTTTATTCACCGAAAACCTTCCCTTCAAAACCGCTCTGTGGTGATATGAGTTTTGTTTCATATTTGTAGTAGATAGTGACATCCGAAAGAGAAGAATTTTTCAACTACTTTTGATTGTAATCGAATTAAGGTATATGATTTTAATCGAGTTTCAATGAAATAGTTATCGATTTGATCTAGTTCTGTTTTGCTTTACTTTTTTTACATTGGGAAATAGCAGATAAACTCAGAAATGTTAATCTATATTAACTCTTTTAGCGAAAGACCATTATAATTCATGGTAACAGCGAAAAGATCTTCTGACCACAGAAAAGTGACTCGTGAAGGTAGTTAAATCCACTTAAAGTCAGTTCAGTAAATGGAAAATTTCGTTGAGAGTAAGAAAAGTGGAGCATATTATCAAAGTGTAGCATGAATTTAGTTTTGTTTCTGCACGACTAGTAAAGTCCTTTTATTCAATAGTGAACATTAGGTAAAGTGGACATGTTCAGAATCTCTGATAGAGCTGGATTATAGATAATATGAAATTTGACTTGCTTAAAAAATGTCAAAAACGCACTATTTCGTAATAATATTGATTGGAAGTGTCCTGATATTTGTATATATCTTATTCTTATACCAATCAAAGCCAATTGCAATATTATCACTCAAATGGTATCGTGAAGCTTTCTCTTCTGGCATATCCAATTCCTTAGAATCGAAGTTTATGAGAAGGAAAAGGCTCAGATGGCTACGATTGCAAGATAGTTATCATTCTATAAACATAAGTTCTCTGTGGACTACACCTCGCAAATTCAACGGCTCAAAGCTTATCTATAAATGTAAATCGTTCTGTGGTGGCCTGGGCGATCGGCTTCGTGGAATTATCACTTGCTTTGTTCTAGCATTGGTTTCTGATCGTCAATTTATGATTGATATGACTCATCCAGTTGATGTCAAAAACTACTTGCTGCCTAATATGTACAATTGGACGCTTGATAATAAGACGTCAAATTTGAATTTTACTCGCAAAGTCATTCATGCTATTGATCATGAACCCAACTTTGAAAATGAAATTCGAAATACAAAATTCATTGAAACTTGGACACAATATGATGACATCGAAATATATACAAATATTGATTTGGTTTCTGATATTTTTCGAAATCCTCTTATTCGAAACAATACAATAATTGATATGTTCTTGCTCAATGTACCTTTAGAACAACTAACCTTGCACAGTTTATTTCCTTTTCTATTCGAAATTCTATTTCAACCAAGTACTGAAGTTGTCAATGCAATACAGTCTATTCTTCACGATATTGAAAACGGCTACACACTCACTTGTATACATTTGCGCATGGGACAGAACCCGTCTAATCCATTGGATGCTCGCTTTGAAGATCGAGCTTCAGCCGCTGAAAATATACTAGATTTCCTGAATAGAACGAATTTAAGAAAAATGCAAAATACACGAATTTTTATCGCAAGTGACTCTCAGCAAGCATTGTCAAAAATAGTTCGCGAATTTCCAAATCAAACTATAACAATACCTGGTCCAATCATTCATGTTGATCGTCCAGCTAATGGTGTTCATCGTCTTCATGGATTTCTTAAAGTAGTTACGGATTTTTATGTATTAGGAGAATGCCACATGAGTATTTTGACGGCTAGTGGATTTTCGGCATTAGCCAATCGACGACGGACAGAACCATATCAAAATTTATTTAAATATGATGGTTCGAATCGGCGAATTGAACGTTGCCACGATATCTACCAAGATTCACAGCCGCCAAAAACAGTAATCGTTGGAAAGTATTGTAGAGTCGTTTTCAATTGTTCTTCTCGCGAAATGTGAGTAGATATAGGATGCGTGCGTGTGCGTACTTTCTCTTTATTCACAGCCAATAAATATTTAAAACATTAATCTTTTGACACTAAAAATAGCTCTACAACAAAATTTAATTGAGAAAACCATGAAATGCAAATTGTCTTATTCTTTATGACATAATTGGTTCTTCGTTCATATATTGAACATTGTATTGTTATATATCCAGATAATGTATTTGAACCGAATATAAACTAAGTAGGGAGTACCAAGATGATGAAGAAGGGACGACACACGAGAAGGCAGAGAAATGGAAGAAAAGGAACAAAGAAAATCACACTCCCCTCTCATCAAAGCGCATCACATATATACATCCTCATGAGTCAAGACTCCTGCGTCAAGCATCTCGTGCTCATGACTCAAGGAATCTCGACTCAGAGGATATAACCGTATGATATCATGGCTGGAGGCCATGACAGTTCATATATTGAACATTGTATGGAATGAACAAAATCAAAACATGTCTTACTTACTGCTGATATGCATCTGTTAATGAAAAATTGAAGAAAATATTGCAAATATAATCAGAGAAACTTTTCAAAGTCTCCCATGGATAATTGGACTCAAGAACATTGACTAATTATATATTGTCCAAAAAAAGTGCCATGTTTCAAGTTATTTCAGCAAGGAAGCTTAGTCATACGATGGCTTTGAAAACTTATTTTCAAGATATTTGACTTGATTCGATTCTTAAAGCTCAAAAAATTTGTGAAATACATCTGAATATTTTTCTTTCTAAAACCTCTAGTTTTCTAGTGTGTAATCGAGCAATAATTGGAAGAATTTTACGCAATATCTACTTTTGGAGTCTTCAATATCTTTCGGATTGTTGACAATTATTCAAAAGCTACACATCGTGTTGCTGCAGATTTACCAACTGACAGTGAGACCAGAAAAAAAAAATTGTTCATCTCACTTTCAGCATGAGAAACTGAATTCTAGAGGTCATTGTTCAATTTGGATGAAGTATTCACCTATTTTTTTTTCGAATCAAGCTTATGAAGACATGCAATAAAGTTGCTACCATATCGAAACATTTAGCCAAATTCATGTAAATGTCATTTGACAATGAGGTTTTATAATGAATACTTTTTAATAAATTATGTATAGTGAATTGAATTTAGAATATAACAAATGACATGTTCTAGTTCATTGACGTCGTTGGAAATCATCGCAGAAAACTGTTTTTTTTTCTGTTTTCGATACCATCTCGGAGAAGACGTTGAATTGATATGCTCAATAACGGACGTCCATCTGTAACTTTCTCTTATTTCGTGTTGGTTTTAATCGATCTCTCATCTATAATAGAACTGAAATCAACTTCTATCGTTGAAGAGTTTGGGACTATACAGAATTATAAGATAAATTTTGATGTTGAAAATATATTACAAAGTGTTTGTTATAATCAGAGATACATGATTTCTGATTTAGGTAAAAAAGAACGTAAGTCATAAAATTCCTCACAATGACATCAGTACATCTAAGATATGTGTCGACTGCAAGAAAAACTAATTGAAGACATCTGAAACGAATACCATCCGAATTCGACTTTCGTTTGACTGGTCGACCAACGTCAGCAAATCGTGAAAACTAGATTGTTCAGAACATCAATCTGTTTTCATTTGAGTGGTTTAATCAGAATAGAAGAATAGCCTTTCATATTGGTCGTTACTACCATTACCTCTTCAATATTACGGTTACTTATTACTCGACTTAGTATGGCATTGTCGTCGACCAGTGAACCTTTTTAATTTCCTCATTTCAATAAAAACTTGTTATGACAAAAACCTGATCGAAGCAGCTATGTACAATCAAGCTTAAGTAGATCTATAATCTGAATAAAACAGGTTGAAAATCACATTATTATTGTTGGAATGGATCTACCACCTCACATGAAATATTAATTATACTCAATCGATCAGTTTGTATATCACGTGCCGATATAATTTTACAGTACGAACAATTGCTTTTTCATCACATAATATGCTCAAGTCTATTGAGAAGTTTACAATCATCAATGATGAACAATTACTAATGAAGAAGATCAATTGCCTTCAGTTAACGTTAGTTCATAGATGTCAAACATGAAAGTTATATTCAATTATTGAATATTTAAAGCTTGAAAAGTTGCAGTTCAAATATACAGCTATTCAACTTGACGAATTAATTTGAAATACACACACAAACATATCTTTGCCGATATGGAATACTTGAATTGAAGAGTTCAATAATTGAATTTAACTTTCAAGTTTGATACTACTGCTTTTTTATAATCTAACTAATTAGACTTGCAACTTATCGATTTGAATATGACAATTCGATATTTTCCTAAGCAACAAATAGTTGAAAAAAAAAATTTCCCATTGCTATACTACTTACATCGACAAAGTATGGTTGAGTATAAGTAAAAATTAGATATCGACAATTCATCCCTTTTTTTTTATAATAAATAATAAAAAATATTTGATATAAAATCCATCACAAAAACAGATCTGTCTTTGAATTTAGATTCTGCTTACGATGAGGAAAGTGACAATAATAAACCATTGATAGATTGAATTGGTTAATTTTGCCAATGAATTCTCAATTCCAATAAAACTTGCATTCCAAATACTAGGTCTCAACATAGCTTCACTTTGCCCTGGTCATGGTGGCATTGTAATTGCTACGTCTATGAATGGTTTGTGTTCAATTGTACGAAACTGAAATTGTGCACCGACCAGCATGATAATGCGTACATCAACATTAACTATTACAATTTCTTCTTTTTTTCTTTGTTTCTGCGAAAATTCCCCTTGACCAGATGAAAAATACCGTATTTCAAAAACAGTTCGATGTTCAACAGTGATTCTAATGATATCTGAATAGTAAATTGTAAATTGCACAACATGTTTAAATTAAAAACATTATAAATTGCTTTGTTCGATGAGAAGAAGCTTTCTTTTTAATCTAGAATATTTGTGAGAAATGGAAAATGAGATGAAAGAATTATGCAAATGAACAATTAATAAAGTGTAAGAAAATACTAAATTTTCATTTGTAATTTTTATTATTATTTATTGAGTGTGTAAAATAAAATATAATTAATCAAACTAAAAGCATTCAAATAGCTTTAATATAAATAAGTTGCATAAAAAACAAATAGTGTTTGCTGTAATTATTTCATTGTGCTGACGAATGAATTATTAATAACGATAATATTCGGGTTTGAATGGTCCATCTGGATGCAAATCTAGATAGGCCGATTGTGTCTCTGTTAGTTTTTCTAATTTTGCACCTAAATAATCCAAATGTGCCAAGGCAACTTCTTCATCTAACTAGAAAAAAAAAAGAAAATATTGTCAACTTTCTCTGTAATAATATGCTCAAAAAACAAACATGTTTAGAAAAAAAAACGCCTTTTCAAAGTATATAAGACAACACTTACAGTTTTTGGAAGAGTATGAATTCCAATTGAATATTGTCCTTTTCTTGTGAACAATTCAATTTGTGCCAAAATTTGATTTGAAAATGAATTACTCATAACAAAACTTGGATTACCATGTGCACAGGCTAAAAGAAAGATAAATATCGAAAACTACTCAGTTCATTTATAGATAATACTTACAAAGATTAACAACACGACCATCAGCAGGTAAAATAATAGCACGACCACTTGGTAAATGATAAATATCAACCTATAACAATAGAAAACAAATAAACTAATAAAAATCATTTGTTACTAATTAATTAGATAATCTATACTTGTGGTTTAATATATTCAATTTTGACTGCATTAGCTTTTAACCATACAACATCAATTTCAGTTTGACCTGAACCAATATTACATAAAATAGCCATATCACGCATTTCCATCATATGTTCACCACGAATTAATCCAGTTGAGCCAGTTGCTGATACAAATATTTGACCAATTTTACATGCTTCAGCCATTGTTGTTACTTGATAACCTAGAATCATGCATCTCTCATTCATAATAATCAATAGATAGATAGATAGATATTATTTACCATCCATTACAGCTTGTAGAGCACAAATTGGATCAATTTCAGTAATAATAACTCGTGCACCATAACTACTTAATGCTTTTGCACATCCTTTTCCTACATTACCATATCCAATAATTACTGTTACTTTTCCTCCGATCATGACATCTGTAGCTCGTTTAATACCATCAATAAGACTTTCACCACATCCATAATTATTATCGAATTTTGATTTTGTTACACTATCATTAACATTAATTACTGGAACTTTTAATTTTTTATTTTTGAATAATTTACGTAATTTAGTTATACCAGCTGTTGTTTCTTCACTACTACCATGTATCATACTTGTCAAATGTGGATATTTTTCATGTATAATTCGTGCTAAATTACAACCATCATCCAAAATAGCATTTAATGGTTGACCATCAGGAAAGTAGATTGTCTAGAAGAAAAGAGAAAGTTGATTATATGTATAACTATACATCAAAAGCGCAATGAAGAAACAAGATGATGATCCTAACTTATACAGAACAGCTGGACAACTATTTTATTTGCATTAGACATTGATATTAGACCAAATATGACACTTTTGAGAGAAGTCACATCAATCAGTACACTTTTTCTCAGAAGATTTTCTAATTTCCTTTTTTTAATTTTCAGCTTCTTTTTTTATAATAAAGCGTAAACTCTTGAATTTTGTAAGAAAATTAACAAAAACAAAGTTTCTTGCTTACCTGATCTATACACCATAATTTCTCTTCTTCAGTTTCACCTTTCCAAGCATAAATCGCTATACCAGTTTTAACTAATGCAGCTGCAACATGATCTTGTGTTGATAATGGATTACAAGAACTCCATTGAACCTATTGAAGAATGAACATATCTTGAGAATTCGAAAATAAAATAATTTACTTGTGCACCCAATTGAAGAAATGTTTCAATCATTACTCCAGTTTGTGCTGTTAAATGTAAACATCCAGCAAGACGAACACCTTTCAATGGTTGTTTAGGTCTATAAATTTTTCTTAATAGCATTACTCCTGGCATTTCATCTTCAGCCATTGACAATGCTTTTCTACCCAATTCAGCTAGATTGATATTAGCAATTTTATACGATAGTTTTTCAACACCATTAATCAATAAAAATGCTTTTTTTTCATCATCAAAACTATTGGTCAATGGGGATTCGTCTGAAAAATAAATAAATTCTTCTAAACTCTATAATTGGACTTTAGAATCTATGCTGTAAAAACTGTTAGCTAACCACAACTTCAATTGAAATAACTGAAGTTAACTGATAATTTCTTAGAAATGTCGATGACATATTTTATAAACTCTAATCTTTTATACGATAGACTTACCGAAATTTTGTTCACTCAATTGTCGACGAAAATGTTTTGTTCTAGTTGAAGTTAATATGGGTGATATTGATAAATTTTCAGACTCTTCTTCTTGTTGAATACGTTCGATATTTAAACTAAATTTTCGTTTCAAAAACATTTTTTGCATTTCTAATAAAACACAATAAGTTTTGATTTGTCGAAAAGATAATCGTTATGAGCTTGTGACTTATATCGGATTGTTGTTTCTAACTTAAAGAAACTTTTTATTTCAATCGAAGTTTTTATACGGTCATCTGTTTTATATTGGGTAAGACCACAACTTTCACTTTCGACGAAAAAAAATGGGAAGAGATGAATCTTATCGTCGTTTTAATAATATCTAGAAATATACGTCACATTCTAATACAAGATATGTCATTAGTCAAATAACTACAAAGTTTTGTCATCGAAAGGATTGCTTTCGTTCTTCCTTTCTTATTTTTCGTCGATTTATCGATAAAGTAGCATTTTACTTTTAGTGTTTTGAATAAAAAGGAACTGATGAGTCAAATGCACTTTATAATCAACTCTTGACATCCGTAAATATTATAGTTAGATATATGCCTTCATAGAAGATAAAAATGATGATTATAGTTTTAAAAAATTTTAACAAAACAATATACTTCACTAATGACTGTTTTTACATAGAATTGAGATACACTTGCTGGATAAAATATCTTTTTAGACGCTTTTGAATCAATATGCCTATTAATTGAAGTCAATTTAATTGCTGGTACAATATTTGGATTTCCAGTTTTATTTGAAATTTTACCACAATATGGAGTTTATGGTAATAAAAATAATTGTTCATCATCATCATTAATAAATAGAACATATGTAGAAGTGAGAGAATCATCTTGTGAAGCACATCAAACAAGATAATATCAAGTACGCAGAGATATAAAAGATTGATCAGTTTTTTTATGGTTGACTTGTGTGTATTATTAATTTTTAGAATGCATTAACATTAGGAATTATTTTATTTGAGCTTCCATCAATGATGATTGGTCCATTGATTGATAAATTTGGGTGTGGGTGTGGGTGTGGGTGTGAGTGTGGGTGTATGGTTGGGTGTGTGGGTGTGGGTGTGGGTGTGGGTGTGAGTGTGGGTGTGCGTGTGGGTGTGTGGGTGTGGGTGTGGGTGTGAGTGTGGGTGTATGGTTGGGTGTGGGTGTGGGATGTGGGTGTGGGTGTGGATGTGGATGAGGATATGGATGGTGGGTGTGGATGTTACAGAGTAGAAGATACACACCCACACCCACACCCACACCGACACCAACACCCACACCCACACCCCACACACCCACACCCAACCCTTACTTACCCATATTATTTTTTATTGCTTACGTTC